TAATATATATATATATATATATATATATATATATATATATATGGTGCATCCATGGGTGAAAATGGCAGGCAAGGCAGAAGTTGGCCTGGGCCAATTCCTTGTCTGCTCTGTTTTGCATGGTGTATTGTGGCAGGCAGGGCATTGTAAAGTATGGCTTTCGGCTATTAAAATTGTTCATCAGAGTTCCATTCAATGTGATTAGATTTTTTTTGGGGGCAAATAATTCAAAGGCCATAATATTTATGCAAGGGGCCTTTATGATATATTTATGGAGTCACAACTTGCGCAATTTCATTTTAAAGGGTGCTTGGTGACCTATCAATCTAAGGGACTGTGTTCGGTTACTGATATATCTGCTCATGCTTCAAGCACTTGGACCTTTGTCAAATAAATAGAGGTTTTGAGGTTTTACTCTCGGGTCATTGCATCAAAAAATAATGCCCCTTCCTACCTGGTATTAAGCCTGCTACGCAGAAAAGTGAGTGACTGTGGAGTAGGGACCCGCCATGCCCAATGCACATGCCGAAAGGGCTGTCGTTATCATGTGTTTTATCATTGCATTGCCTTTTTGAGCTGTGATTCAAAAATTTGAATTCAGGTATCTGATTCCAATTCTGTCTCAGCAATTCCCGAGCTGAGTCCTATTTACCAAAAATAAAATTAGAAAACATGGAGGGACTTGATAGCTTATAGGATTTCCTCCCTGTAATCGCCAGCCTCCTGTTCTGGCCCGACTCTGGTGATTCCTGAGTCAGAATCTTGAGTTACTGTTTTGGTGCTTAACTATGAAATATTGCAGGACATGTGATATTGAAGGACAGCCATTGCCTTTCGTCTCGTACGATTTCTTAGGCTGCTCTTAAGTTCTAGGGAGCTCTCTAAAGATGGATGAGTAGTATTTGAGCCTTGGACCTTACTGCTGGTAAGGTTAAAGAAAACTTGGAAATAGTGGCCATTGTAACATCAAAGGATTGGCCTAGATGGATGAGTGGGTATTTGAGCCTTGGATGTTACTGCTGGTAAAGTTCAATTTTTTTTTGGAAATAGTGGCCATTGTAACATCAAAGGATTGGCCTAGATGGATGAGTGGGTATTTGAGCCTTGGATGTTACTGCTGGTAAAGTTCAATTTTTTTTTGGAAATAGTGGCCATTGTAACATCAAGGGACCATACCCATTGGGATACATGAAGATGTGCCAAGTTTTGTGTGATGTGGACGTGGGGGTGGAAATTGTTTTATTCAACTAGTAGTGGATCTTTCTTATTCAATGAAAAATCATTTTTATTTGGTAAAATTACTGCTATATTATTGATGTCGTCCGGGTTTCCAATTTTAATCTTATAGCAATCCTAGGAAATGGAAATCGTGATTTGTTATTTTAAGAGGCTGTGGTTTGCGTAATGTTAAACAATCAAATTAAGGTGCACCCCAAGATCTTGTCATGAAATACAATTATGATGTTGAAAGCTTTAGGATGGTGTGAGAATCTATTTTTATCAATAATTATAAAATTTAAACTCCAAAAGTAATTCAAATCAAATAGATCTATAAACATATAGAAATCTTAAAAAATGGACGGTCTATATAATGTGTTGACAAATGTATCATTTTTAGAACTCGGAATCTATTATTTTCTCCATAAATGTCAAGATGATCAATTAGATGTTTTTCAAACATCAACGCAACGCAACCTTGTTTGAAGGATTTTAGAGGTGCACTTTAATTCTACACTTAAGATGTCAATTTTATATAAACTTTCATCTTTTTAAAATGGGAAAGCTTTTTACGTTCTCCCTACAACATAGAAGTTCTGTCTTCTTTTTTACTATCCAGCTGTCTAGTTTTTATCAAAAGAGCCACTCACTATTTGATCTCACATCCAAAGTCTCAAAGTATTTTATTTTTTGTTTTTTTAATACAATTTTTTTGAATATAAAATTTGGTACTTGCCATCTTCTCATTGGGGTGCAAATATAAAAAATATTAACAATAATTTTTCGATAAAATATAATTACCAAAATACCTTTTAAAACTTTCAGAGGTATTTTGATCATTTTATTTTATTGAAAATATTTGTTTTATATTTTTCATTAGTGCGGGTTTAATAGAAAAATGGACGTTCCAAATTTGGTGTCAAAATAGATCATAAAAAAAAATTAAAAATAAAACAGTGTGGAGACGTGTCATTGTGATTAGGGCAATTTTAGCCCTCTATTAAAAAAAATGGACGGCTGGATAAAAAGGAGGATATAACTTCTAGGGGAACCTAAAAATCTCTTCCTTTTAAAATATCTGAAATAAAGGCTACTATATCAAAAAGTCGCTACTTTAGTGGGCCATGATTTCATCTGTTAAATCAGATGTTTGGCCTTTTGCTTTTCCGCCGTGGATGCACCGTGCTCTGCTCCGTGTTAACCCTTCTCCCAATTTTAGCAGCAAAATGAACCCTCGGTACCACCAAAACCCCATGGGAACCCTCTTAGTCTTTTACAGTAATTTATCGTCCAAATACGACTTTTTATCTATTTCTGGTAAGTACCCACGTTAGGAAAACCTGGCGTTCTAACAGGTAACTGCCAGGTTAGATTGGACTCGACCAATAGCCGGTTCAGGTTTTGAGTGGTTTTGGTGATCGATTGGTATTTAAAAAAAAGAAGTCTAAAAAAATATATACAAAATCTCAAAAAGAAGGAATTTGGTTTGTAATATATATTTTTAATATTGTTTACATCATGGTAAAGATTAAAAATTGTTTTGCTCATTAATACTCATTTTTATATTTTTTTCAATTTTTTTAAAAAATCATAAAAATAGCCTTAGGCACAAATCTAATTTTTAAAATTCATTTTTTCATTAATTTTTAAAATGTGTTTTGTTTTAATTATTTTTTATATGCTTTTCATATTTTAGTATATTTTTTTTGTATATTTTTTATTTTTTTCAACATTTTTTTGACTATCCGGAACTTGTCCTTTTAAAACGATTTAATCTGCTCGTTTACCGATTAGATTGGTTAAACTGCTTTTCGCCCCATATACTAAGTGAGAAAGGCACCATCTTTGTAAAGCATCATTGCTAACATGTTTTGTGGAATCAAGGGGGTCTCGGATAATCACTTTGAACACAAGCTACATAATGCGCGTTATTCACGCGCAAAGTATTGCATTGTTACCCGCATCTATGATAAGCATTATGAATTTAGTTACCGTATAATTGCGCTTTTCGTTCCCCAAAACACAAGCGCGCACGAAGTACATCATGGGTTCGCTTAGTACTCAGTTTCATGTACAGTGTAGTAGCGCACCGACCACAACACTAGCCACACAATGAGCGCGCGCTATTCATAGGTAGAGTGTACCACCCGCACCATTAATGAGTGTCGTGCACTTACGCAGCATACAATTGCACAATGCGTTCCCCAAAACACAAGCGCGCGCTATTCTGGACCAATACATCATGGGTATCCTCTAATCACTTCCTCCTACTTGGAACAAATGAATATATGGATAATGCTTAACGAGAACAATTAGGGATGGCAACGGTTTTTGTCGTGTCGGGTCGGGTATGGCCAAACCCAAACTTAGACTCAATCTAAAAATTAAAATATCTATTCATTTAACTATATTTAAATATATTTTATATATTAGGACTGAAAAAATATTATTGGACGCAATCGGACCCTCATTCAAACCTGAACAATGTCTGGGTTCAAGATTTGATCTCAGACCCGACTTGCCGAATTCAATATTTGGAACCAATCCTATAACCAAATCTACCCCTCGAATCTCAGGTCAAGTCCGAATCCATTACCACCTCTAGAGAATATCCTTACTTTTGCACGATTATCTCGATATATTGAAATGGCGCTCGTCCGGTTGAGTGCTACTTTGTGAGGGATACCAGCATTGGCCCATGCATACCAGCATTGGCCCATGCATACTACCCTAAAGGTGGTAACAATCTGAAAGTGTAAGTTTCCTAGAGGGAGGAGACGAAGGTAGAGGGCAAGAATGTCATGCATATGTGAAAAGCCCAGGCTTCCAAGGCCCAACTCAATCCTAACCCGCTTCAACTGCAGGAGGACTGGGCACTTCACCATGATTTACCTTTCCTTTCCTCGCTTCTTTTCTAGTGGTGTCAATGAACTCTTGTGCGGCTACGACTCCATCCATGATTTAAACGAATATATGCTGCCCCATCAACTTCATAATTTAACAGTCTATTTGTTAAAACCTTAGCCAATATTTTATAAGTGGGTGATAAAAAGACTTATCAGCCTCATATCTTTAATGGCTTATAAAACAGACTTTTTAGGAACTAATGCGAGCAAAGCTTTATTCACCATACCATCACGATAGAATTGTCGGAGAAGGAAAAAAAAGTTCCTATTTAGCTTGTAAGACAGGTTTTTTAAGGACTAATGCAATGAATGTAGGATTCAAAGCTTTATTCACCTCACCATTATGATATAATTGTGACTAAAAGAAGCAAAGATCATCATCTTTCACTCTATCCCCAATTTCACACTATATCCCAATTTTACATCTACTACTAGTCACTAATAATTGTGACCAACTTAAAACAAAAATAAATGATCGGATGCTACATATACCCTTTTTATAAGGGTGTCGATCCTAGTTCCCTAGAACCCCTTTTTTTATATTTTATTGTCTTTCTTTTAAGCTTATCTACCCTCTAATTCCCTCTTCCATTTCTTTTTTATCCTATTTTATTTAATTTTTAATAATTTATAAATCACCAAAACCAATCCAAAAGAAAAAAAAATCATAATAAAGAAATTCAAAAGCCCTTTATGAGTCCATAAAAATAAGAAATTTCTTTATATGGCCAAGCGCGCATTTGTAGAAATGCGGGCCTCTTAATAAATGTGGATTTTAGGACTTAATTTAAGGACATGTAATCTCTAAAATAAATGTATTTTTGAGATGGATTTTAAGACTTAATTTTTAACGACCTGTAATCTCTAAGGAGATCATGAATATGATAAAATAAATAAATTTCGTGTAAAAAGTGATTATAGTTAATAGAAAACTCATCCCCCAATGACGAATTCGTCATCGAACAAATTCATGCAAAATGAAAATCCAGACCACTGTACATTTTAACTCATTATTTTAAGGAAAAAGTTTATATAAGGATGCAACCTTATAATGTAGAACTACGGATGCTCCTCAAAAATCCATTGAAAAAGGTTGTTTTAATGTTGAAAAACTCTTTGATTGATCATCTCGACATCTTAAAATAATAAAAAGATTTTAAGTCTTAGAAATAATGCATTTTACAATATATTATCTACACCATCCATTTTCAAGATTTTCATATGTTTATAGATCTACTTGATTTTAACTAATTCTGAAATTTAAAATTTTATAATTAGATAGAAAAATAGATTTTGAGACAATTTTAAGAACATTGTACATCAAAATTATGTGCCATGATAAAATTTGAAGGTGCACCTTACCACTACATCTACGGATGCATCCGTATGCCAATTGCACCTTTGTTTTAATGATACAATATAAATTATATAAACTATATTTACTAAATAATATATGAAATAAATATTTTATTTTTTTAATTATTAGACCTAACTCAAAGTCGGATTTGGGTCCAAATCACTTGAACTCCAGTAAGGATCGGGTCCGAGTCTGGGTGAGAAGTCTTGGGTTCCAGATCCTTACCGATTGCCACCCCAAGTTCACTGGGGCACTTGTCATCGTGTTGATGGAGTACGTAAATACAATGTCCGCCGCATGGTGTGGTGTTACATCGGACCACCATCACAGCGCAACCGTTGGTCTAAATCAATATCCACCGTCCAAAGTTCCTCCAAAACCCTAAATGGTCTAAAACTCCTATTGGGGCTCCCTCTCTCTCACATCAAAACCCTAATCGTCTCTCGTCAAAATCTTGGGTCTCTCGTCGTCCCAAAAAGTCTCTCTGTCTCTCTCTAATCGAAACCCTAATCGTCTCTCATCAAAACCCTAAAAGGTCTAAAACTCCCATTTAAACACCATTGCTTCTCCCTTTCACCCGTTCCGAGTCTGAAAATCGGACCTTGGGTCGCCGTCTCTCTCACATCAAAACCCTAATCGCCTCTCGTCAAAACCTTGGGTCTCCCTATCTCTGTCTCTCGTCATCCCAAAACTCTCTCTCTCACTCTCTAATCGAAACCCTTATCGTCTTTCATCAAAACCCTAATCGTCTCTCATCAAAACCCTAATCGTATCGCATCAAAACCCTGATCGTCTTTCATCAGAACCTTGGGCCTTCCCCTTTGTCGCTCATCATCCCAAAACTCGCTATCTCTCTCTCTAATCGAAATCCTAGAAATCGTTGCGTTCGTTTCTCCCTCTCTAATCAAACCCTAGAATTCCTCTCTGTTTCTTTTGAATCACATGCCCTTTCCACCACGAAAACCCTAGAAATCTCTGCTTTTTCTCTCTTTTAGGTGATGTTACGAGGAAAATCTGAAGAACTATTTATTTCATTTCTTCAGATCCACTCACTTTCTTCTCATCTTGTTTCCTTCGGGTGTATTTCATCTCTCCCTTTTCTAGGGTTTACTAGCTTCTGGATCGCAGAGCATCCTCATGTTTCATTGCCTTGGTAGTGGGATTTTTGCAATTGCCATCTAGGATTGGCCTTAGATTCATGAAATTTCTGGCTTTTCTTTTATGTTATATTTTGTTGACTTTTGTTTTGTTTTTTTTTTTTTCGAATTTTCATTTTGCATGAATTCGTCGATGGGGGATGAGTGCCTGGCTGGGACTCTCCTTAACAGAATGAGCGAACTGATTTTGTGTTCGTAAATTCCTCTGTAAACGTCGTAAAGAAAGCTTCTGCTTGTTGTGGGTTCTTCTATTAAGACAATTTGGTCTCCGGCCTTCTTGTTTTGTGGAATTGTAGCCCCCATTTGCAGAGAGCGGCCTCATATTCCATCGCCTTGGGTAGTGGTGTTACTGCAATTACCATTTGGGACTGGCCATGAGGCATACATTGTCATTTGTTGCATCAAATTTTTTTATATTGGACAACGTCATTGGTTTTCATCTGTGGCCTAGTTTAAAAACTTTGGTCTTTTTGACTTTCACCAACTAATATTTGATAATTTTCTTGTGAAATTTGCATTGGAACCTTCAGTTTTAATATGGATTCCTTGTATTTGAGAAGTTCATTTAGATATTTGTTTTTAAGAATCAAAAGTGGAATTGTTGGCCATGATGAAATCAGAAACAATAACACCATCTTTCGGGACTGAATGGTGGAAACCTTGCTGATATTCTGCAATTCTGAGGCCCCCTTACAGAATATCCTTTCAGTTTTCTACTTGTTTGTTCCTGAGGAAGTGAAATTGTTTTCATGCTTTAATGCAAATATGCTAGTTTCTGTGATCTCTTTGGTCATTGACAAATTTGCTCGATTTTATATATATGGTTTCATATTATTCTTTTTGCATTGCAATTTTACATCTTTGGTGCGGTTTTGAGCTTTCAATATTATGGCTGTGCAGTTTTCCCGGTAGAGATGGCCAAATCTTACGACAATTGAATATGCTTGGTTTACCCAAAATCTTACGACAATTGAATATGCCTGGTTTACAGATCCTGAGAGCATCTATACTCTTGGAGATTAGCATCTATACTCTCGGAGATTTGGTTTACAGATCCTGTGAGCATCTATGCTCTCGGAGATTTGGAAGGAGACGTAATCGAAGGACTTTTGATGGTTCTATCTTGAGCAATGAGAGCGTCAAGAGTTAAAAAATCTTGCATATCTTGTATGAGTTGTGGAGATGGTTTTTCAGCAACAAAGGTGGGATATGGGATTTCATGAGTCAACATAGTATTAAACTTGAAAAACCTGTTGAAGCAGTCGTATATAAAGGCGAAACCACAGCGTTGAAAACTGCACATGGTAGTAGTAAACTTGAGAAATTAAGGTGAAGTTGAAAAATTAAGGTGAAACCGAAGGGTTTCAAAAGTGGACATAGTAAACTGAAACCAAAGGGGTTAAAAGTGGAGTAGTAAACTGAAACCAAAGGGTTCAAAAGTGAACATAATAGTAAACTTGAAAAAAGTGTAGTAAACTGAAACCAAAGGGTTCAAAAGTGGACATGGCAGGAAACTTTAAAAACGTGGTGGAGCAAGTGAAACCGAAGGGTTCAAAAAAGTGGACCTAGAAAAGTGGACATAGTAGTAACCTGGTTGAAACCAATTGGAAGTGAAACCTGGTGAAACCAAAGGGTTCAAAAAAGTGGACATAGAAAAGTGAACATGGTAGTAGTAACCTGTTTGAAGCCAATTGGAAGGTGAAGCAAGTGAAACTTGATGAAACCAAAGTTTGAAGCCAATTGGAAGGTGAAGCAAGTGAAACCTGATGAAACCAAAGGGTTCAAAAAAGTGGACATAGTAGTAACCTGGTTTCAAGTGGACATAGAAAACAAAAAAGTGGACATAGTAGTAACCTGGTTTCAAGTGGACATAGAAAACAAAAAAGTGGACATAGTAGTAACCTGGTTTCAAGTGGACATAGAAAACAGAAAAGTGGACATAGTAGTAACCTGGTTTCAAGTGGACATAGAAAACAGAAAAGTGGACATAGTAGTAACCTGGTTTCAAGTGGACATAGAAAACAGAAAAGTGGACATAGTAGTAACCTGGTTTCAAGTGGACAGTAGTAACCTGGTTGAAACCAAATTGGAAGGTACTGTGTATTGTGGAAGGTGATTGGCTTAGTGTGATTAATTGGTGCAATAAGGTGAGTTGATCGTCTCGGTCATGGCGTTCTCTATATGCAGAAGTTAATTGATTTTTGTGGTGTTTTGTGCTTAATTGGTGCAATAAGGTGCGTTGACCGCCTCGGTCATGGCGTTCTCTATATGCAGAAGTTAATTGATTTTTGTGGTGTTTTGGAGGTGACCTTCCAACATGCTTACAGAGCTTTGGCTAAGAGGGGGTATCTTCTAAGTCCCTTATTGCTAATGAATTGTTACTGTGATGTATTTGTAACCTTCTTTTGACTAATATCGGTGGAGCCTTTGGTTTCTTTGGCTATTAAGTTTAGAAGGGGGACGGCATTTTAGGCAATGATTCATGAAACCGATGTATGTATATTAATATGATGCAACAACCTTGAAAAATCATCTTGTGACCATTTGTTTGATCCAGATTTTGAATGAGTAATGGTCAAAAAGGACCCCTCCCTTACTTATCTGTTTAGGACCCTAACGGATCACCATTAAAGTTGGTACGGATCTCTATAAAAGTTATCACATGGGTGAAGGATTTGATTTTTCTATAGATCCGTTTGTCAAATTTAATGGTGATCCATTGGGTCCTATACACATGGATGGGAGAGGGTCCTATAGGATCATTTACACTCTTTTTATTCTAATGAATAATTACAAAAAAGAAAAATATGAAAACACAACTTAGAATGTATTTTTTTAGCCCAATTAACATAAGTTTGGTGAGATGCTTAGATCTAGATCTTAGAAAGATTTTTTTATTTTCAATTTTTTGGATGGTTTTATTATCATTAGATGAACAATGTTAAAACAGAAAAAAATGATTGAGTTTATAAAAAAATGATTTTGAGTTTATAAAGGCTAAGATCTTTAAATCCACAAAATGAAGGGTCTAGATTCGTTTTTGGATGGGATTCATTTTGACCATATCTAGGATTCAAATTGAATTTTTTTTTTTTTTTTTGGGATTGATTATTGAGATGAAAAGAGTGTGCGTGTAAAATTTAAGGTTATGCAAATATCATCAACATGATTGTTTAGAAGTGTCGTTGCATTATATTATGATACAACAATTGCATTAGATCATTTGTTGTCATTTTATCTTTGTTAAATACCACTTCTCGGCATGTGATTGTAGGTACTCATATAAAACGTCATTTTATCTTTGTTAAATACCACTTCTCCGCATGTGATTGTAGGTACTCATATAAAACGAAAACGGACCAGCCCTGTTTCGCTCCATTATACCCTGTTTCAAGGGCTGAATATGGTTTTTTATATGATCTACATGGTTTCACAACAATGGAGTTGTATCTATGAGAAATGCTTTAAATGGAATTTGTTTTGAAATTGCATGGTTAGGTTATTGATCCGGATTGGGAATCGGTCAGTGGCCAAACCAGATCTAGATGGTAGTGGTACCAGGTTGATCCCCCTTAATACCCGGCCAAATAGTTTCGAATGATTGGTACTCCCCATAAACCAATTTAATATTTTTATTTTTTATTTTTAAAATTTTAAAATTTATTTAGATCACCAATTTGGATCGATCTGGTTTGATCTGGATCTACAATTCCACAAATGTGGGATAGACGATCCGTCCCTCTGATCTAAGTTTTGAAACACTTGTTTGAGGTTGTTGTGCCTTAGATCGTCCCACAGTGTGATGGAAGGAATGCCAATGGTTATCGAATAATGTTTTCATATGGTGATATACAATGTTAATCGTCATTTCAAATTAATTCCATAGGGCACTACTTTGTCTTGAATCATCGTTTTTTTTTATTCTTTTTTTTTTTGATAATTCATTGGAGAGACAGGTCTGGTTTTTCCAAATTGTTTAGGAGTCAGTTTTTTTTAAGGGTGTTAACAAAGTGGTGTTGGTGCTAAGAATGAAAATTACAATATGGGGGTGCTACCATTAAGACCCGAACTTCTTTTTTTTCTAATCCATTTTTTCAAGTAGATCAGGAGTTAAGCTTTTCGAAGGTATTAGTCGGATGATGTTAGTGGTAGGAATAAAAATTAGCGCACCACAACGCGATGTAAGGTGCTACCAGCACGACCCTAGCCTCTTTAACATATAAGCCTTTTGCAGATCGTGTTCAAGCCTTCTCCTAACCACGACGGGACTCCTCACCTACGGCGGGACTCTTCCACGACACCTATGTTTCTTTCCATTTTGCAACAATGTCGCTAATTCAACGAGCCCATGTATAAAGAACATTATTAATAAAGGGAAACCTTCTATACATCTTCACCCCTATATAATTTACTTACGTCCTTCATCTCTCAACCGTCTGATTTAAGTGGATGGCTAGGATAGCTTTGAGCCGCTTCATCTTCTAGCCATCCAATCTAAATGTTCAGCTAGGATAGCTTTGAGCCGCTAACCGTTCGATCTAGATTTGATATTTTAGAGTATTCCATTTTAATTTTTTTCTCCAAATTATATGAACATAAAACTTAGTTCGTGCATCATCTCAATAAGATGCACCTAAAAAGAATATAAAAAAATTTTATATAAAATAAAATAACCAAAATACCCTTTTTCTCTCCTCCCCCCCCCAACCCACTCCCCTTTTTCTTTTCTTTTTTTTTTCCTTTTTTTTTTCTATTCAATAGAGACCGTTCTAGATTTTTCAAATAGTTTAAGAGTTAGTAAAATTACAACAAACCCACAGCCTACAATCTCAAGGTCGCAACAAGAACGGCCTGCCTAGCAAGTAATTTTTATAGGAAAAAAAATCACGTATAAGTCGTAAGAGTAAATCCATGGACTTATACATTGCAACAAAATCCTTTTATTTCTCCAAAGCCCGCGGCATTATAACTCATTTAAAGAATTTATTTTTGAGTTTCAAAGCATAATTTAAGTAAGGGTGCGGTTTCTATAAGGTTGCAACCTTAAACAATCCAATTAAGGCGTACCTTAAAATTTAATCATAGCATGTACTTTTGTTATAAAAAATTCTTCTTAAAATATATTTTCCATATTTAATTAGAAAATTTTAAATTTAAAAAATGGTTAAAATCGAGTAAATCTATAAATATATGAAAATCTTGAAAATGGATAGTCTAGATAATGTACCGCAAGATGCACTATTTTCGAGATTCAAAAACTTTTTTTTTTTCATATTCATAGATCTCAATGTCGAGATGATTGATTAAAGTGTTTTTTCAACATTAAAACAACAATTCCGATAGATTTTCGAGGTGCATCTATGATTCTACATTTTAAGGTTGCAACTTTATATAAACTTTTCCCTTTTAAGTAATAACATATCACATTGATAGATATGGGTGACTCTGATCCGATTTATAAGGATAGAAAAGTATTCTACAAAAGTGGGCCAATTGTATAAAATAACAAGTGATTATATACTCCCAAAGGAGCATATCTTGTATTTTAAAACCCTATATAAGAGTATTTGTAGGATCCCAAATTTTAGAGATATAACTTCTTAACCACAAACAAAAAAAATGTAAAATAAATATTGGAAAAAATATTGTAAATATCCGTTTTAGTTTCCATTATTACCAAAATACTTAATATTTTTTAATATTATTTATATGTCCATTTTTTAAACTTCATAACAAATTTTTTTAAAAAAGGCGATACTACATATTTTCGGTTTTTCAAAAACTAAAATCAGGCCAATTTCTATTTTTGAAAAATAAAAAATTTAAAATTTCCGGTTCTTGTGAATTTTTTTTTATCTCCGCGTATTTTCTTTCTACAGTACATAGGTAAAAATGGTTTTTTTTTTTTAACTTCTCTCTCTCCCCTTCACCCAACGTCGCATCTTTTTTTTGGGTAAGTTTCACTCAAGCGTCTTGAGATAGGAATTCAGTCTAGTCTGAATATTCCCATAGCTTTCCATTCTCCTCTAATGTATACGGGCCAAACCTGAGTAATATTGAGAGGGCCTATCGAAACCAATCAAAGGTGAGAGGATAAATAGTTTATAATGACATTTTGCAGCTGCGAATTCAGGGGCAGGATTGAGTGGTTGCAAAGTGTTGGGACATTGAGTTGGGGCAAGATTGGGTGGTTGAGAAAAGGCACGAGTTCGATGGTTGGGGCCATTAATGGAGGAGAGAGAGAAAGGTAGGATTGGGGTGCAAGAGAGAGGAAGGAAAACCATCAGTGGTTTGGGTCGAGACTTCATTTGCCCATCATAGATGCAGAGAGAGGATTCTTTCTGAATTCTGAATTTTCAATGACGGAGGCTAGAATTACATCAGGAGACTGGTTAAATTTATGAGGGAGGAAAGAGAGAGAAAATTGAAAATTTGGTTTTTGAACTTGATTAGTCAATGGAGAGAGAAGTAGATAGAAAATACGCAAATGACTCAAAACAGAGAAAAAATATTTGGGTTTTTTAAAAACCGAAATTGTTCTGAAAATCCGATAATGGGTAGTTTCATTTTTTTCTAAAAAAATGTTATGAAGTCTAGAAAATGGATATATTAATAATAACGGAAAGTATTCGTTATTTTGGCAATAATGAAAACTAAAATAGATATTTACATAATTTTTCCATAAAATTTATTAGCACTTTATGTGCACCTAAGAAAATAAGGTTATGGGATTGGTTAAAGACCTTCCAACTTTTAGATTTAGTAAATCAGAATTCACTTTGCTTTCTTGAAAATATTGTATGATGATTATAAAGTGGATCCCAAAACTTAAGCAAACTTAACATGGAACAGCATAACAAGGGGTGTTTGTAACCTTTGTATGCAAATAGTAATGGTCTCAAGGGGTGTTTGTAACCTTTGTATGCAAATAGTAATGGTCTCAGTGTACACAATCCTTAAAAATTCCTTAAAAATAAGCTCCTCCATTTGCATAGAAAACAACTGTTTTTTCACAGGAAAGGGAAAAATTCTCAAGATGCTTATAAGTTTGGTTCCACTCTCAATCTCACTCACCAAGCCCATTTCTATGTGACATGAACTCTTGAGAAATTGTAGTCCACATGGTATATTACATCATCCTATCCGGGCCAACCTTTACTATGCACTAAAAAACTGTACAACATATTGTTCCACTAAAAGAAATTGGTAATATTGTGGTCCAAAGGCAGTATCTAACCCACTGAATTTGGCATAAAATTTCCAAATTCCATAATGCAGAGCCACAGTTGAGCATGGCAGCTAAAAAAGAGCACTTACTGTTTGTCGCATTTCAAA